TTTTTAAAGACAAAAATTTTTGAGGCGAAATACCCAAAAAGAAGTTTGTAAAAAATGAATCCGCCTCAACAATATAGAACTTATCTACAATATTATTCATGGGATTCAACAAAAGTTGGATGGACATATTAAATTCGGGCCTTCTTTCGGTATTAATGCGGCTTTTTGGACTGTACCGAAAGAAAATCTGGCAATCGACAGCAATTTGTTACTGTGGAACGGCTTATTTAAATCGGGGTGAAACCGATCGAAGTTCCGATCCAGACAGATCCAGTTCGAAATTGTCTGATGGAACGGAACTGATATTTTGCAGGAACGGCTGCTTTTGTCGGTTCTTCCCCAACACGTGGCCATGGAAATGAAAAACGATATCATATCGCCGGTTGAAGGCCAATTCCACAAGATCTATATCCAGAAGCATGAAAATGTCAGGTGAGTTTAACTCTTGGCTGGTTTGCCCTTAATGGACTTACCATTGCCAGCTTTTACCAACAATTTCTCATATAATGTGAAACATTTACCAGGTGTCAATTTGAAAACATCCGACCCAACAAAAAATATTAATTTAAAGTGTCCCCTTACAAATAAAATTGACGAGTCTTTCCGATTTTTCATATTTTCAACTGCAAGAAAGATATTAAGGGTGGAAAGTTTTCAAATTGACACCCCGCCTATGTATTTCAGTGCCTTTCAGAAGAACAAACAAAACAATAGTTTCTAGACAATTTTAGACTTATTTTACCACTAGAAACATCTTACCTGGATCTTTCCACGTCAAATGATTCCAACTGTTTCGCTTCTTTTCAAGAGAAATGCTTTTGCGGTTCGTATTCTCAGTTCAGAAAAGGCTCTTTGAGCCAAGTGCGCGTTTAAATACATTTTTAATGGCTGCTAGATGGAACTGCTACCCTCGGCTGTTTCAGTTTAAAACGTTTCACTTTGGCAGCAGCAAACATGCACTTTTTCAGCCCTTTGGCTCTGACCACGTTGGACTTTTTCCGATAGTGCCTGCCCCAAAAGTTAATTTAAACAAAATTTTCCGCTTTGCACAATCGCCGTATTGTTTCAGGCTTATAGCTTGTTTATACGTAAACCTGGTTCTTCAGTTAACAAATGGGCACATAAACACCCCGACTCTTACATTAAACGGCGTTTATTCCCGAACATAAATCTATGTAGAGTCTTTGGCGCCAACTAAGGATCAATGCACAGACGTGTTTCGGCATTAAAACTTCTAGTCTAATATTCATCAGATTAGTTTTTTTATGACAATTTGTCCTCTACTGCTGATTTCTATCGCACCTTAATATGTTTTTTTTTGTCTTTTCAGTATATTGTTTGCAGACATAGTGGGCTTTACCGTATTGGCGTCACAGTGTACAGCACAAGAACTCGTCCGGCTGCTCAATGAGTTGTTTGGTAGATTCGATCAACTGGCAAATGTAAGTGAATGTTTTCATCAATCAATGGCCCAAAAAACTTCATTTAAAAGCTGCTATAAACAATAGTTGCTGGTAAATTGTAATTTTTTAATTTCCTTCTCTAGTTTCCCAACGGAGCCAATAAATGGCCATTGTAGTTAGTCGATTGTTATTCCAAATTCCAAGTTAAATGTACATTTTTAATGCTCATTAAGTTAAATAACCGATTGCCTAAAACAAATAGCTAAAACTAATGTGTGCATATCGATTGATTGCCATCGTTCAGTTAAATATTTACATGTGTGGAATATTTACATGTGTGAAACCTTCCTACCATCAATTCAGGACGGCGTTGCGGAATTTCCTAGCAGTTTATTAACTTATAATTGTCGAACGATTTTAAATACCCCGATTAATTGAACCGATCGGAACCATCACATTTCCAACCATCGACTGATACTGAGCGATTTATTGACTGTGGCAATTAACTTTAAACGCAGGGTGTTTTCCCAAATGAGCGACAATGATTATTATCCTAATTATTCCAATTTCGAGGAAAACTTTCCACCTATTTGCTGCCTTTTTCTCGATATTTACATAACTCTAATGCGAGCGAGTTTTTAATTAAAACTTCAAAGCTACTCTTGCAATGGAGCAGCGAATCATGCTCCAAAAGTGTTACGTCTTTTTTGCTAGTTAATTAAGCCATTCCAAGCGTTCATTTGACCTGATTCCTGGCACTAAACAGCATGACTATCATGCTTGGAGATAATACACGGTTCCCTTTGACATTTGGAAGTTTAAAGGCAAAGCCCTGGAGTTTAATCGACTAGAAACTTGCCAGAGCAGTTTATTTTTGTTATCTATAATGGGGCCAAAGGGAGTCGGCTGTACGCTTTGAAACAGCCTCATTAGAACACTAAGCTGAAAAAGCATGCTGGGTTTTAGAAATTTCGTAGTTTTACTACCGAAGAGGAAACCTAACGGAGTCAAGTCTGGCGGCCTGGGTGGCCCATGAATTAAACAATGCCTCCAATGCATCTATTGTTTTTAGAACTTTGAAACTTTGATTTATACGGAATGTGACCTTTCATACTAAGGACGTCTATTTTTTTATTCTGCGGCATTTTAATCAGCGGAAATTCACTTGCGGCAAACATTAGATAAAACACATTTAGGAATGTTTTCCGGGCTTTGAAGCCGTGGTCTATGGGAATTTCTTCCTGACGTTTCGTCCACAACTGCGGTGGACATTATCA